CCTTGGCTGCTCGCTCGCTGGCTCTCGGGGAGGGCCCGGCGGCGGCGGCGCAGTGTGGCTCGTGCCGGGAGCCCGGGAGCCCGGGAGCGGGAGCCCGGGCCGGTGCGACGGCCGAGTGCGCGGCCTGACTGTGCGCAGGCTTGGCCGGGGTTCTACGAGTGGCAGCCGGCCGGCGCCAGCGTCTTCTGGACTCCTGCTGGGGGTCTAATGTGTGTCCTCCCGAAATCTCCGTGCTCAGCTGACGGAAGCCGACTTGGAGCGGAAGACCTGGCCCCGGGGGCGGGCTGGTGGGGACGTTCGAGTCCAGCACGTTCCCTGGAGGCTGCCCGTTCCTCACCCCGCGCAGACAGGTGGCCGCATGGTCACTGACAGTAGTTCAGGTTCGCCTTTAGAGGGCCACGTGGGGTGCCGTGTGAGAGGCTTTATTCTGGAGGTGCCTGCTGAACCTTCTGGTTGTCCTGACAGGGTGCGCGCGCTCGGCGACTTCCTTGTCACTAGGACAGGCTTCCAGGAAGCCAGAGCACTTTCTGGCCCGAGCATGGGCACGGGCTCTCCTTGTAGCATTTTTCCAGCTCTGTAACGTCGGTGGCCCTGTCGTCCTGTCCGCAAGACTTGCTCTGGTTTTTGCCTATCCCAGTGTTTTTTTCAGCTCATAGTCTGTCGAGGCAGACTTTCCTGTCTTTCCTAACTGACAAGTCTTTAACCTGATCTACCCCTTAGGCGGGCAGCTCCGGCGCGGTGTTCATCAGCGGGCTCTCCATGCTTGCACCCATTTTCCTGTCCTGCGCCGGACAGCTCCTCCCCTCTGCCTGGCTTGGCCCACCAGCTCCAGCATGTGTTTATTTGAGAGCATTAAATCCAGAGTGAGAAGCTCAGCGTCTCTGTTAACCCCATCTATTCTCTTCTTGGGGCCTCTGGTCCTGACTGTCCTGTCTTTGCTGGTGTGGCCCCCTGCTGCCTATTGTCACCTTACCACGCCTCCTTGGCTGCATCTCACTGCCATGTGCAGTGAGCCCCACAAGGCTGGGCACTGCGGGTCTCCCAGGGGCTGTGCTCCCTGTCCCCCCCATACCCCTCTCACACTGAAGGCTCCCCTTTGCTACACGACTCCGCCCTGTTCTTTCTGCCTGCTATAGCCGTTGTACCCGTGTTCCCCGTCTGGAGCCCAGGCATTCTTTAGGCCCTGTGGACCCTGCTTTTCTGCCGCTGAACCTGTGCTGGGCTGCCACAACTTTGCCCTTAGCTGGAGCAGCATGGAATGTGTGTGACTGCAGCATTGGCAGCCTCTTCAAGGCGTACTCTGGATCGCGCTTCTAAGCACTAGCTCTTGAGCTTCCTTCAGAAGGCCCCCAAGCTGCCTCTACTGTGTACATTGTTTTTTGTTGTTTCATTAAAAAAGTATTACCAGGACTGACTAGTTAATCAGAGTTGCACTAAGATCTTGTTGTTCTTTTTCGTTTTTGTGATACGGGGTCTTGCTATGCAGCTTGGACTTGTAGTGATCCTCCTATCTCAGCCTCCCCAGTGCTGGGATTATACGCATGTGCCACCACACCCAGTTCTGGGGATGTAACTCGGGACTTTGGGCTTGGCAGGCAGGTACATGTGCCACTGAGCTATCTCCCCAGTCCCTTCACTAGGTCCTTGAAGAACCCTTTTCTCAGTTGCTCTGTGTGGCCATACAGGGCAGACCAGGCAGCAGGTGCTGGGATGGGCAGTTGTCCTGATGCATCCACTATCCTCTCGCTGGTCGCGGTGAAGAAGGACGTTCCAGGAGCAAGGGAGGCTCCGCATCAGCCAGGCTTGCTGCCTCCCAGCTGGGCTGTCCCATTCCAGCTGCCCACCTCTGGCTGTGGCTGCCCCTGCATTCAAAGTTGAGGCCAAGTGACCAGTCAGAGGACTCGCTTTGGCTTAGGACCTAGTGAGGTCCTAGAACGTGGCAGTTTTTGTTTCCAAGGCCTTAGCTGCTGCAACGTGGGTGCTGACACTAATCTGAGGGCGCGTGACAGTTGTATCCCACAGCTTTTTACCCTCCCAGGGTGCTCAGTGCGTAGAGTTCTTGCACTCAGGTAGGTTTTCCTGGCAAGAAAAGTGAGAGCTGATGGTGGATGCCTCTAGGAGGCCAAGGAAGAAGGAAACCCAGGTTCAAGCACAGTTGTGTGCCTGTTGCCGGCGTCTTCAGACTCAGAAATGCCACTCAGCCTTGGAGAGCTGCACCGAACTTCAAGTCTGGGCTGGCCAGGCCGGGCTTCTCCTGTCATTTTAATCATGAGGAAACGTGTTATTTGACCCTGCATCTTCCTGAGTCTGCACCTAATTCAATATTAAGGTTCCCTTTGCCTGAGTATGGTGGAATTACTGCCTGCCCTGGCGGCATGTCTGTGGTGAGCACCAGTGCTTAGTGTGCGATAGGGACCCCTTACCTGCCGGCGCTTCAGGGTGTCTGGGGCTCAGCATCCCCAGGATGGTGGACTCCTCCCTCGGGCAGGAGTGTGGCTAAGCTAACTGCGTGGGAGTCCCTGGGAATGTGTGGCCCTAGCCTAGGTGGTCTACTCATGCCGTCCCTGGGGATGGTGAGCTGTGCTGGTGGGAGGGCGCTAGGGCTTTTGGTCAGGGAGCTGGGGCTCCCCCTGCTGGCTGCAGACTCTGCAGTGCGCCTGGTCTCAGCTTGGCAGTGGACTGACTATTCCCCAGCACAATTGTTGTAGGTGTGAGGGGAAAAGGAGTAGTGGCACACATGGTCTGGTCCCTGTGCCCCAGAGCTAGCACTGGTGGCTACCTGACCATCTCTGTGGTTACAGCGGCCAACCATGGTGTGCTTATGCCCACTTAATAGAGGTGGACCTGGGGCTAGGGACGTGAAATAAGCCTGGTTGGATTTGCCTCCCAGGCCTGTGCGTGAGCCTGACGGAGCGGAACTGGACTTTCCCTCTCTGCTGTGCTCCAGGTTGGGGCCACCCATGTGGCAAGGCCAGTTGCAGGGCTTGTGGAGGTACAGGAGGGCTTGGGGGACACACTGCAGACTGAAGGAAGCGCAGGTTCAAGGGCTTTGGGCTACGGCATGTTTGTGCCGGCCTGCGGTTCACTAAACCAGGCTTATTGGGTAAGCCACACCTCGTGGGTATTTGTGACTAATTCCTGTCAGAATGTAGCATGCCTCAGAATCTTTCCCAGCACACAGGTTTTGGTAGATTTTCTATAAACTTGCAGATTTTTTAGCATCTGAGTATTGAACTTGAAGCTTTCTGTGGCTAGCACCGTGCTCAGCACTTGCTGGGCTAGAGCACTTGGGCTTGGTTCCGTGAGCAGGTGAGTCAGTTTCAAGTAAGCCAAGGCGATCTGTGCGTCAGTGGGAGCTTTGATGTTCAGAGCGTCCAGGGCGCAAACGTTGCAGTGCATCCACAGGGAAAGAACCCCCGCCCATTCCCGCAGCCTGGCGTTTTGAGGAAACGAGTTTCTGCTTCTGCAGAGAAACCTCAGTAGGCCTTTTTGGCTGAGAGAATAATTGCTTGCAAGATGACATTGCAAGTGACACCTCCTGACAGCTAGCGTCAGTGAAATCTACTTAGCAGTTACCCACCACCTCTGCCAGGCTTGTCTGGCCGGCTGGAATCTGAGGCTAGCTGCGCATTTGTCTGTGGCTCTTCCCAGCTCTGTGATCCTCTAAGGGGTGTTCCCGAGAGTCTGGTATGTAGTGGGCAGGTCACGGAGATACTGTGTCTTGACTTTTCAGGAAGCTTACCACACGCATGTTACTTTGGAACCACCAACTTTCTGGACTCTAAACCTTTCAGGCTGGGGTGTCTGGCGTGTGGGTCACCAGGTGTGACTAAGTGCCTGTGAGTGCCGTCTTTGGAACATACTGGTGACGCAGCAGGTGGGTATGGAGCCTGCTCTTAAGAGTTCCAGGGCCTCGTAAAGTTATTTACATAACAATTTGTGATGCTGGCTTCCTGGTGGCCAGTAAAGTCACAATGCGTTGTATCAGGTTGGCATGGTGGTGCATACCTTTAATCTCAGGTATGAGGAGGCTGAGGCAGGAGAATCTCAAGTTTGAGGCCAGCCTGGACACCTCAATTATCCTGTCTTCCAATAGAAATGACAAGGGCTCAGGATGTAGCTTAGTGGTATAGTGCCCCAGCGTCTGAGTCCCGGTACTAGAGAAAGTGTTTTTCAATATCCAGGAGACAGAAAACGTACTGCTCATCGGAAGAGGCATAGGAAACAGAGGAGTCGGGGTGCTTACCAGGGGCCACTTCGATGATGAGCCCTTGCTGACTGGTGCCACCTGGGGAACTGTGCCCACCTCAGTGCAGAGTGAGGGGCCCTCTCAGTGGTGGCATTTCTGTCAGGATTGTGGGAGAGATTTTCAGTGTGTTATTCTCAGAGTCGATCTGAACGACTCATTACAGGATAACTTTCTCTTTTGCCAGAACTTTGTAATGCAAGAAACATCTGGTCCCAGACTCACCCTTGGCTTCTGTGTCCTAGGAATATGAAGACAAGGCTGGAAGACCTAGCCGGCCACCTTCGCCAAAGCAGAATGTGAGGAGAAATCTTGATTTTGAGCCACTTTCCACCACTGCCCTCATCCTTGAAGACAGACCAGCGTGAGTCTTAGTGCCACCTTGGCGCTTGGCATAGTGGATCAGGACCTGTTAATCCCTTCGCATTAGGAAGGAATGAGGTCAGCCGGAGGTGGAGGAGTGGCCACAAGCAGTTGTCATGCCTGTGTCCCCACTCCCCATGCATTCTGTTCCGATGTCACATGGCTCACTTGAGAAGTGGTCCTTCAGGATAGAAGTTTGCAGCAGGTTTTCCATTCAGGCGATTTTTCTTTCAGCATTTAAGAAGACTTTAGTAGTAAATGATGCCTGGTTTGCAATGGCAGGAGACCCTGGGTTGCGTGCTCCACCCTGCTGTTTTGGGGCTGTGGTGGTATCATAGGACCTTTGGACCAGCCTGTGGGGTTCTGGGGATCTCAGTGAACAGGGAGTGAGTTCCCTGTGTGGCACCCCTCTGGCCTTAGATCCCCATGTGTGACTCAGGAGCCGTGTGGAGGGACATTGATGGGCAGCAGGAATTGCTCCCTTGTGCCAGACACAGCTGGTCTGTTTAAGTATTAAATCTGTCTAGGGTGTTGTGCTAGAATAGAAGGACCCACGCTCAGGAGAGGGTAAGAAGAAAGCTAGCCCTGTTAAGGCTCATGCCAGTCCCTGAAAATTGAAAACTAATGAAATCTCAAGGAATTGTGTCTTGCTGTTACTTCTCAGCTCTCAGAAGTGGGGTGTGGAGAGCCCCTAAGTGGTGGGCTGCGGGGTTGGGCAGAGGCCATTACGGCGTGGAGCAGTTGCTCCAGTGCTCGGAGCCATGGATGTGGCCCAGCCTCCCACCTCCAGCAGCACAGTTCCAAATCACAAAAGGAATGGGGTCCTGCTCAGTGATGGGAACAGCAGTCCAAATGTGGATGTGAAAGCGTGTGTTTTATTGGTTTAATGAGTGTAGAACTATGATACACATTTGTACAGTAGCAATAAAGAACTAGAGCTAATAGTGAAACTTGCACACTTAAAAAGTGTAGAAAGAGCCAGGTGTGGTGGCACACACCTGTAATCCCAGCACTTGAGAGGCTGAGGCAAGAGGATCCCTGAGTTTGAGGCCAGCCTGAGTTGCATAGTGAGAGCCTATCTCAAGAAGACGAAGACCCCAAAACCTAGAAAGAGACCGTGCAGCTGCACAAGTGGAACGCGTGCTTGCCGAGTTCCCACCACAAGGATGAGGTGCTGCAGTGTTGCGGTGTAAGCCTCTGAGGGCAGCCGGCCGGCCGTGCTGAGGCGGGAGGGGAGGGGGCCTGTGGTGAGGTCAGCGCCCTTGAAGAGCGGAGTGCAGGCACGCTAGGGTTTTCCTCTGCAGTAATTATGCGTAATTGGTTTTGGCTTTTTTTTTTTAATCTGTGGAATTCATTTGTTTTAGTAGTGAGCTTTTTACGTTTACCAAAAAATGTTAGTTTCTAAAAGAACTGTAATTTTTTAAAAACAGTTTTTGATGCTGAGTTTTACAGTTTTTGTAACCAGTGCAGCAGGATCTCTTCAGACTCTTAGTTGGTGTTGTAATGGCGAAACCACTCATTCCCACACAGCAACCTCCCTGCGAAGCCGGCCGACGAGGCGCAGAAGCACAGGCAGCAGTATGAAGAGATGGTGGTGCAGGCCAAGAAGCGAGGTGCGTACGGCCGCCGGGCCTCACGGCCTGCTCCGCCCGCAGCTTCCTCAAGCTGTAGTATTTTCATATTTGTGATTTTGCATCAAATGTGCGTGGTTCTCTTCCTCCTGGTCATTATTTTGAGGTAGAAGCCCTTGAAGCCTCCAGGATGAAAGAGAGGTCTAGGGCGAGGACTGTGTGGTCAGGAAAGCCTCGGCTGTGAGGTGGGATTTCTCTTCCCGCCGGTTGCTTTCTTTTTCTTTACAAGAGCATGGATTGGAGTCGATACAGTCCCTGGGAACCCTTGGGCCTGTAGGTTGTCATGCACTCAGATAGATGCGTGGCTGATGAGTGGGTGTGTGGGTGGAAGGGAGCGCTGTAGGAAGGAGAGCCTCCAGCCCTGCTGGCCACTGCCTTGGGTGGAGCTGGAATTGGACGGGGGGACAGTTTCTTTTGGGGAGGATGACAGAGGTATAGGGACAGACGTGAAGGCAGCTGCACATGTACTTGATGCTGCTGAGTAGGGCAGTTAAGTGGTGGTTCACACGGCAGATTTTTACATGACGTGTATTTTACTATAATAAAGAAGTACAGTCCATGCGTGTCCACAGGTCAGTTTCCAGGGCCCCCTGTGGACACCAAACCCCTGGGTGGTCAAGTCCTGGGTAGAGTTTGTGGATAGCTACACACATTGACCTATGTATGATGTGTATGTGTATGTGGGGGGGGCAGACACATGCACACATGCGTGCACACACACACACACACACACACACACACACGGTCTTGCTGTGTAGTCCAGGCTGGTCTTCAGCTCCAGGTGATCCTCAGTCTCCTGAGTGCTGGCATTGCAGGTGTGTTGTGCCACCATGCCTGGCTCTCCCATATATCAAATGTAAATCCTGTGTAAATAGTGGACGCATTGTGCAGTGTGGACAGCATGACCTGCAAAGGATCTGTACTCGTTTGGTGCAGGTGTGATTTTTCTAAGTGTTGTCCTTTGCCGGTTGGGTGATGAATGGGTGCGGAGGGCGATGTGTGCAGAAAGCCGGGGTCTCCTCAAACTCCAATTCTGTGGAGGGCAGTGCCAAAGCTGTTAGAAGTGGGCCTGAGGTCGCCTCAGAAGGTGGGTGGGAGTGTGCGCAGGGCTCCCAGTGTCTGGGCGATGTGGTGTGTCGCATGCTGTGGTGTCCTGGGCTCGTCTGTGTGTGTTGCCCCTCGGATTGTATTTGCACTGCACATGTCCCTGTGTGTGTGCTGCACCTGAGACTCCACCACAGGCTGTGCTGAGCAGGCTCAGATCTGTACAGGTCACCCAGCTTGCCATGGCGTCTCTGACATACCTCCCCCTTGTGTAATTCCAGAGCTCAAGGAAGCCCAGCGGAGGAAAAAGCAGCTGGAGGAGAGGTGCCGAGTGGAAGAGAGCATCGGGAATGCCGTCCTCACCTGGAATAACGAGATACTGCCTAACTGGGACACAATGTAAGGCCAGGCTCAGGCTCTGCTGACCCCAGCTGCTCCTTCCCCAACAGGAAGCGTGGGGGTGGGGGCGGCGCTGAGGCTAGGGTTGGAGTCGGTCCAGCCCGGCATCCCCAAACCGCCCTTCCCTGCCCTCTATCCATCCAGCACTCAGCAGCCTGACCACCTAGGAAAGCAGTTGTCTTTGCCACTCTAAATTTCACCCATTTCCTGGGGTCCACAGTGTAAACCTTGAGCCTCAGAACTCAGCCGCCTGGATCCCGCTTTTTGCTCTGTGAGATGGCCTGTGGCCTCACCCTACTCTCTTCTCTACATGAGCCCAGCCCGGTCCCCAGAGGATCAGCCACAGGATTGGTGCTTTTCCATCTCAGGGTCTTTGCATATCCTGTTGTCCTGGGGAAGACTTTCCTGCCCCCCTCCCCCCCAGCTCTAGGTGCTGGTAGAAGACTCTCCGGGTGCCCTGCTGCCCCAAGCATGGGAGCCAGGCAGCTCTCACACTGACCTCAGGTATCGGTGCAGAACAGGTACCCACAGAGTCTGTGCCTTGCTCACTTCCAAGGGTCAGCGTCTCTGTCCACCTTTGTGGTCTGAGGGGGCTGCGGGGAGCACAGGTGTCATGGTGCTAGGACTTGTGACTGTGCCTGGTGTGAATCGCTCACTGCAGGGCTCTTGGGCCAGGGAGGGGCTGGGCTAGGCAAGGCTGGCCAGAGCCTGCTTCTCTAGCAATGGCTTTTGGTGGCTGGCTGCTGCCAGAACACATGCAGTGCTTTCCCTGTGTGGAACCATCCTGTCTTCCACAGGACTCAGGGTCAGAACTGAGGGCTTTACAGCCACACCACCGTCCCTCCACCTGCAGACCGTGCCTGTGCCCCTGTGTGGCTGCTGAGCCTGGCCTGGAGCCTGCCCGCTCCTGTGCTGGTGTTGTCTGAGGGCATACACACACTGTTTAGCACACATCGGCTCTGTGCTGGGCCCTCTGGACTTCATTGCATGTGACATTCCCTGCAGCCCTTGGGGAGAGCTTCACTGTCTGGTTTAGGAGGATGTACAGGTCTGGGGGGACCAGTATTGGCTCTGGGGTCCCACGTAGGGGTGGATTGGGACATAGCCTGGCATGTCTGGAAGCAGGAATGGCCTGCTGCCTTTCTCTTTTCCGTCTTCAGGCGAGTGTGTTCACTGCAGCCCGCAGTCCTGCGTGCCGGCCCTCTATGGAGTGTTCTGGGCTCGTTGTCCTTGGCCCTCAGGGGCTGGTGGCCCATCCTCCAGGCTTTTCTGTCGTAGCAGGACAGTGGCTGCCTCTGTCTGTCTGGGCTCCCCGTGCTGCCTCCTCACCTGTTGCGGCAGGGGCCCAGCAGATGAGTGCACTCCGTCGGTTGGATGGCACGCCCTGGGGCAGGAGGGCACGCCCCTGCTCCTGTGGTGTCAGTGGCCCTAGTGCGGATGAGCCTGACTTCACAGGGAGCACGTTCTGAGTTCATCTCTGTCCTGCGTAGGTGGTGCTCGCGGAAGGTTCGCGATCTCTGGTGGCAGGGAATCCCACCCAGCGTGAGGGGCAGAGTCTGGAGCTTAGCCATCGGCAATGAGCTGAACATCACTCATGGTGAGTGGCCCACCTCGGGGCCCCTGCCGGGAGGGGTGGCAGCGAGCATCTGCAGCTGAGCCTGAGTGCCTAGGAGGGCTCACAGGCGGCGGGCTCACTCCCAGGTACTTGGGGTTCCCGGTATGGGGCACCGGCTGCAGGTGGAGGGCACAGCAGATGTTGCCGTAAAGCCCTCAGGTATGACCATGAGTCCTGTGGAAGGCAGGCCTCATTCAGTGAAGGTGGAGGTGCTTGTCTTTCAGACAGCCTTAGAAGATGAGTTGGAGAAGTTTCTTTTTTTGTATTTTTTAGGGAAGGGTCTACAGGGTGTTCAGGGTCTCATTACTAGATTGGACTCACAGCGATCCGCCTGTGTTCAGCTTCTCCAGAGCTGGGATTACAGGTGCGCGCCACCACGCCCAGTCTCAATTGCCATCTCCGTGCACCCCAGGGGTGGGGGCAGCATGGCAGGCCCAGAAAAGTTGCTAAGTGTGTATTTCAGTCTGTATTCTGGAAGTTTCCTAAGATCCATCAACAGCTTGCCTGCAAATTGGATGTGATGTGCAGTCCCTTGCATGGCTGTGTGTTTGGTGTTTGGTTCTCTCTGGTGCAAGGGTTGATTTTCTTTAAATGAAAACCTGTGGATTGGATCATAGTGGATTGGGCTAGCAGCTAATGAACGGCCTCACATCCTGGACCTCCGCCCAACCTCGACCGCGTGTTGTGTGGTGTGAGCTGGGTCTGTCTTGGGTCACTTGTCCTCAGGACGCTGTGGCTGCTCTGCCCCACACCCAGCCCAGTATTCTGTAGGGCCTCCAGAGACATTTGGCTGCCTCTTAGCAAACAGATGCACTATACTGGGTCCTGCTTGGTCGCACTGAGCCACCTCGAGCCAGCACCAGAACACAGCAAGCTGGTGTGTCGGCTGCCGCACCAGGTAGCATCTGAGTTCTTCTTCACCAGTGGGCAGCACTCCCGTGGGGCAGGCCTTGGCGACCTCCTTTTCCTCCTAAGAAGCTTTAGTGCCCTGCAAGCGCTGGGACCGCCTGGGCCCAATGCCAGTGTGTGTGGAGCCAGCGTTCTGATGTGGGAACCCCAGGGTTTTGGCCTTTTTGTGGTTGTGTAATTGGAAAACTTAAGGCCAATCAAATGGTGCTTTAAAACTTGGCTCTTAGACAAGGTGGGCTTGTGCTTTTTATGTTGGGCTGAGCATCTGAGAAGGTTTCTCTCTGTCTCTTTTTTTAATATCGAAAGTCCTAAGCTCCTGAGTTTGATTCCTGGTACCAAAAGAAAAATAAATGTCCTGAGAATTTTGTTATTTTTTATTAATGTATGTTTATGTTTATCCTGGGGAGCAGGTACCTGTCCTGAGCACATTTTGATCCTTTTTATTCCCCTTCCACTCCCTCCCATCTCGATCCCCTTCCATTTGCAGGAGATGTGTTTCGCGTTTCCTGTTGGGCCTAGGAATCTGTCCATTTTTCCAGACTGATTTTGGGGCACAGCTTTCTGCAGGACCTGGAAGTGCACCATGGGGTATTTATCTGAGCTAACATGAGCATCTCAGCAGTAAATGTCCCTCTTAGGACTGCTTTCACTGTGTCCCCTGGGTTCTGGTATATGGCACTGGCATAATTGTTTGATTCTAGGAATTGTTCAATTTCTTCTGTGTTGCATCAGTCAGGAATGTGTTAGTTAATGTCTAGGTTCTTGTGAAATTTCTGTAATTTCTTTTTTTATTTATTTATTTTTTAATTTTATTTTATTTGTGTGTGTGTGTGTGTGTGTGTGTGTGTGTGGCCAGCTCAGCCCACCAGGGGGCGGGGCTGGCTGGCATGTGGTGCTGGGGGATTGAACCGCGGTCCCTGTGCTTTGCTAAGCTTGTTCTAAGTAGGTGCTTTAGACCACTGAGCCATCTCACCAGCCCCTGTAATTTCTTTTGCCATCAATTTCTAATTTACGTGTTCTGTGATCTAAGAGTATGCATGCTAATTTGTATTCTTTTGTATTTAAGCAAGCTTTTTGGACTAGTATTGCTCTTTTGGAGAAAGTTCAATGTGCTGCTGAGAGAATGTGTATCCTGATACAGGACAGAATACCTGGTAGATCCCTCCTGAGTCTGTTGTTGGAATGTGTGGTTCAACTCTGATACTTGTTTGTTGATTACTTGTATATTTTTATCTTCTGAGACAGTCTGGCAGTGTAGCTCACTGGCTTTGAACTTGGTGTTGATCCTCCTGCCTTAGCCCCCTAAGTGCTGGGAGTACAGGCATAGGTTGCCATGTCCGGCTTGATTTGTCTGTTTGTGACAGTGGCGTATTTCAGGTCCCCCACAATGATTGTTTGGTGTTCGTTGGATCTTTCATGTCCGGTCATGTCGTTTATGAAGTTGGGTGCGCTGGTATTCAGGGTGTGTATTTACAATTGTCGCGTGGGAAGAGGGTTAAAAACTGCTCTATTAGCACACACCAGTAAGACCACAAGAAGATTTTGTAAATTGTCACTGAGCCAGGCGTGGCAGCACGCGTATGTAATCCCAGGACTTGGAAAGCTAAAGCAGGAGGGTTGTTGCAAGTTTGAGACCAGCCCGGAGTACAAAGTGAGCTTAAGGCCAGCCTGAGCTGCATAGTGAGACCCTGTCTCGAAAGAAAAAAACCCCCCAACCCGACACTTCACCCGTTTTACTGAGGATGCCAGGCCCCTGTTTGTGGAGTGGCTCCTGATGGTCACCGGAGACATAGTGCTTGTTCCACTGCCACTGGAAGTAACATAGTGTGGCACAGCACACCGGAAGCTGAGTGCTGGCGGGACCTTTTAGCTGTGGCCACGACACCTCCGCTGTTCCTGGGAGCCTTCACCCTCCGGAAGCCTGCGGTGTGGGGCTGCCGTGGCCAGCCTCATGCCTGTGCGTTCATCTTCCCAAGCCTGTAGCAGGTTGATAACGGGGATGCTGGACTGGAATGGTGCTGCTAGAATTTCAGCTAACCTTTAATAAAGGAGTGTGCCCAGCCTGGACAGAGATGTACCCTGCTTTCTTTTTGAGAAGTAGTGATGGGAAAATAAAGCGATGAAAACCATGGGTTGCTTTAGTTACAGCCCCAGACTTTGGGGGAGCTGGGCAGTGACAGCCTGAGGTACAGGGGCTCCCAGGCCCATCCACTGAGGGCCTGAGCTGCGTCCTTGTCCTCAGAGAGGTGTGGGGCTGGGCCACCAGGGCGATCCATGTGGGTGAGGTCTGTGGGCAGGTGCTCTTCCCAGGTTGAGCTGGCCACCTGGAGAGAAGAGCTGCTGGGCAGGTGCTCGTGTGGTGGCGCTTGCCTGTCCCTCGGCACCTCTCCCAGCCCTGCTGTGCTTCTGGTGCCAGACAGGCAGCACTTCCTTCTAGTCCGTCCTCCTCTGAAATGGCACCTGTCTGAATCCTGAAAATCACACTCCTACATGTCAACAGAAATTATGAAGGCCACACAGCCCAGGAGAAGGCTAAGAGCGGGGTGCAGACTGAATTCTGGGGAAGGTGTGGCGCTGTTCTTTTGGAAAATGCGTCCTTAGTCAGTATCGGTGCTCCTCCCAGCTGAGGAAGCTCTCAGGCCTCATATAGAGTTAAAGGCACATCGGCCTGAGGAGCCAGCAAGCCCTGACTGTGCAGATAGGTGTGTGTACAGAGGCTGCGAGGGCGTACAGTGGTGTCGCCTGCCCACCACCAACATGGTGACCACCGACACCGCCCATACAGAGGCACAGGCAGAGGACGTCCACCTAGGCAGGACAGCATGGAAGTGTGGTGTGGGAGGCCGGGCATGTGACAGGAAGTGCTTGTGTCCGTGCGTGCCTGATTAGGGCCTCGGAAAGCGGATGTGAGCGGCTTCTTGCAGGATAGCCATGCCCTCAGGAAGGCAGCGGTTCAGCTCACCACAAGGCTCAGCTCTAAGCCTGGCGTGGTCGTGCACACGCCTGTGATCCCAGACCTGGGCAGCTGAGGCAGGAAGATCACCATGAGTTCGAGGCCAGCCTGCACCACGTAGGGAGGCCCTGTCTCCAAAAAATCAAAACCAAAAAACCCCCCTTCCAGCTCTAGTTCGTAATCTTTTTAATTTTTTTTTTATTTTAGGGAAGGGTCTCCAGGGTGTTAAGGCTCTCACTACTGGATTGGGCTTGCAGTGATCCGCCTGTGTACAGCCTCCCGAGAGCTGGGGTTACAGGCCGCACCACCATGCCCAGGCTTCTAGTTCATAATCTTGTCTGGAAGTCTGCTTGCTCTTTGTGACAGCCTCCATGCAGTTGCCCACAGCTACCTCTGTGACACGCTTTGTCAGATGCTGAATTCTGTTTTTAGTTTTTCTTTTCTTAGTTTTCTCCCAATTAAAAAAAAAAAAAATTATTGGCATTGATTTTTTTCACAGTGTACTGTGCTGTGTATTTGATCTTCACACTTCCAACACTGAAGGTGTAAATTGTACAGAGACGCTTTGTGTTACTTCGTTTTTGCGAGTTTCACCCCATAAAGGTGCATTCTTACAATAAGGACCCTGTGTGAAGCATTGTGTGCGTAGAGACTTTGGAACTTTCTCAGTCAGTGAAGAGAGATGGCCTTTCTGTATATCATGTGCATTTGTAAAAGAAAGTTTTGGAGCTCTTGGCCCTTTGGGGCGTCTGCGCAGCCGCGGCGATTCTTCTAGGTGTTTGCGCGGCCCTGCCCGATGGATGCGGCACAGCTGGTGCAGCACGCTCGCTTGCAGGGCCAGCAGCCTGGGAGCTGAGGCGGGAGGGCCGGGAGTTGGGTGCAGCCTGGGTGCCTTAGCAAGGGCCTGTTTACAAACGAAAAATGGAAAGGGTTGAGGATGTAGCTCAGTTGTGGAGTGCCCTTGATTTGATCTTTAGTTCTCCCAAAGAAAAAAAGTGTTAGGTTGTCTGACAATGTCTCAGCCCAACTCACAAAGCTGGAACATCTCTCGCACCTTCTACTTTTCAGTCTATTTCCTTGTGAATATGGTTCATTCGCTTGGTGTTTATGCCATCTGTCTGTCTTTGATCTTCACACTGTGAGCGCTTTTTAAATCAGGTTTTATTGGTATATTTTAATGAATTAATTTATTTGTACGGGGTCTTGCTACACAGCTTAGACTTGTAGTGATCCTCTTGTGTCAGCCTCCCCAGTGCTGGGATTATAGGCATGTGCCACCACACGTGGTTTCAGTGGCTGGCTTGGCTCGGGGCCGGCACGGCGTGCAGTACCAGGGATTGAACCTGTGTCCTTGCATTTGCCAGGCAAGTTCTGACACCACCAAGCTATCTCCCCAGCCTGGTAGAGTTTAGACACACAATGATTGCACCTTACGTGATAAAGCTGGTTCCCCCCCCCCCCCCCCGCCTTCTCCTCAGCCATTTCGCCCCACCCCACCTGCAAAGATTTGGTTCCATGTTTTCCTTCTTTTCTCCCTGTTTTGTTTTACATTTCCCCTCCTCTCTCTGCCCCTGCCCCTTCTTGTTTCCCTCCTTATTTGGACATTTTTCTCCTCTATCACAATACCTTTGGTCCTTATTTACACTTCCAGTTTCCTACAGCAGAGAAACAATGTGGCATTTATATGTATGTCCAATGTATTTCATTTAAGAATATGGTCTCTGATGTATCCATTTTCCTAGAAATGGCTCAAGCTTATCCTTTTTATGGCCGAGTAGTACTCCGTTGTATGAAAAACCCCACATCTTCTATATCCATCCACCAGTTGATGGGCATTTGGTCTGTATCCAAGATTTGACTATTATAAACTGTACCGCTATATGCCTTGTGCTTATACTCTCAAAAATACGGTATTACCTGTTTTATTGGGTAAAGTGACTTGTGACATCTCTTCACATTTTCATGTTTCTGCAATAAATCTCTTTTGAAAACTATACGTGGGCGTCTTAACATGTTCACTGAGGCCATAATTGGAGTCTCACTGAGTGGCACGCACAGTCATGCATGTGCCACTGGTGGCATGTGCTGCCCCTCATGGCTCAGGCTGGTGAGAATGTGTTAAAAGAATTTTTAAAATTCTTATTGAATCCAATTTTTTCTGGGGGTTTAGCTCAGTGGCCCAGCACCTGCTTGGGAAGCGTGAAGTCCTGAGTCCAGTTCCCAGTACCAAAAGAAGAAGGAAGAATTTTATTTTCAGGATTTTAGATCCTATTTTAGGACTCTGAACTTGGGGACTTCAGCGTTCCGGATTCTGATGTCTGGCTGTGTCTCTTGGGATTGTGGGCCTACTTGGGAGGCTCCACATGGGCTTCCTGCCACACCCTGCTCCTAAACTGCATGGCTCTGTGAGCCGGTGGTGCAGGGCTGAGCTTGGCGAGAGGCCGCAGGCGCACTGCCCAGCCAGTGGGGTCAGTGGGGAGCTGTGTGATAGGAGGTGGTGCCAGGCATGGTGGCAGTGTGCGTGGCCTTCCTTTTACATGACCTTGTCTTTACATAGCCAGAATACTTCCAGGGCAGGTTGGTGGGTGGAGGAGGTATGCGGGCAGTCAGAGAGTTCTCGGGGAAGGCGCGGCATGGGCGACTCATCAAGGCTTTTCTTTCAGAGCTCTTCGACATCTGCCTTGCCCGGGCCAAGGAGCGGTGGCGATCCCTCAGCACGGCGGGCGTGGAGGTGGAGAGCGAAGGTACAGACCTGTGCCCGCAGAGCCACAGCCCTGAGCCTTTCCCAGTGGGAAGGCAGGCTCCGCAGCCTCTCCTGCTGACGAGAGGGTCCTCTTAGCGTGTGCCCTGGGTCTGCAGCCTCACCTGCTTTGCTCCTTGGGTCTGTACTGCTCCTGCAAGGAGGCACCCTGGTGGGCCGCAGCCCTCCGCCCCTGGGCCTGCCTCCCCTCCCGTTCTGCACCATGGCCCCAGGGCTGCTGCTTGCTGGAGGCCCTGTCTTGCTGTGTTAGCGAATTCTTTTGGATGATGAAATTGTGCCGCCCAGCACTTTAGGGCTTCGTGGAGCTGTGGGGAGTTGAAAACTTAGCTGAGCTAGGAGTTAGTCTCAGATCTGCTCTTCCTAAACTGGGAGGAGGAAAGGAAAAATCACTTCCCTGGTAAGGGACCTCTGTGATTCTGTGTTTTGGAGGCTGTTTAGAGTTTTTCAGGGGAAAAAGGAGTCTTTATTTTTAGCAGTATGCGTGTTCACTTTAGCAAGGGACTTGCGAGGTGACAAACTCACTGCAGAGGTTACAACAGACCTCGCTGAGGAGGAGGGAGGACTGGGGGGGGCGGCGTGTCCTGGCTGGGGACAGTGTCCATCCCAGAAAGTATGCAGTGGTCAGGGATGGGCTCTTTGTGGTGATGCGGCGTGCGTGGAGTGGAAGGAGGACTTTGTCTCATGGGGCCATGAATGCAGACCCTGGGCACTGCGAGGACCTGGGCTGGCACAGCGTGTGCGTCTCCGGCGGCCGCCGGTGTCTTCCTGTGTCTCAGAACAGAGTTCACCCGAGAGTGGCCGTGCCCCTGTCTATGGCTGCACAGCTGCGTGGAGCGGCGCTGTAAGCAGTAGACCCCCTCAGTCCGCACGAGCCCTGGGCGCCCAGCCTGCCGGGCTGCAGGCTGCTGATGCAGGTGCATGGGGGAGAGGGCGCTCAGACCTGGGTGCTGCCCTCGCGGGCTCCCCTCGGTGCCCCATGGACCACTGCTTTTGTTATGTTTGCCGTGGTCTTTGAAAGTACTGTGTGATATTGGAATTTAAACAAATATGAAACAGGTTCTTCACTAGTATTGGCCTGAAATATTACATGATGTCACGTTGCAGTAGATCCTATATAGTCTGCTTTCATCTATTTTACTCTTTTTGTTGCCAGAAAACATTATTCTGCTTACCACATGCAGCATGTTTTGAGGTGCACGTGGTATGCAGGGACAGTAGCTAGTCAGCCCAGGCGTCACCTCCCGTAGTTGTAATTCTGTAGGAAGAGCCTTCCCATCTGCTGCTCAGCACTTTCAGGACTGCGATAGGCAGCCGTCTGTGATCACCGTGTTCAGCAGTACATCCCTCCCACTGGACTGAAATCTGGCTTTCTTTGACCAGTCCCCCCAGCTCCCCTCTTGCCTCTGGTAGCCCCTGCTTTTGTGAACGTAACGTTTTTAGGCTCTGGCAACAGTGAGACCCTGTGCTATTGGGTGTACTGCGCACTGGCCGACATGCCCGTGCACGCAGTCAGTAGTGGCAAGCCCCTTCTTTCTCTGGCTGCATGGCATTCTCCCGAGCTTCTTTACTACCTGGTCTGTACCCAGTCTGTGGGGGACGGGCTAGATGGTTCCATTGGGTGGGCCCTTCTGAGTGACGGCGTGCAAAGGGCTGTCAGCCTGCTTTCTTTCGTTTTCTGCGGGTCTTCCCCCGGAGTGGGGTTTCTGGACCCTGTGAAGCTCCATTTTCAGTGTTGCAAGCCCATGTATACCATGGTGTTTGAAGACCAGGTGACGCCTTTGTGTTCGGGGTTTTCTGTACCTAGTGTCCATTACACACACTCCTCTGTGTGTCCTTGTTCCGCTTGCTGGTTGACTTGAGGCTCCAGCCTTGGCAGGTGCCCACGGTGCTTTACTCCACGCCTGCCCCTCATCCCAGAGCGGGCTCTGAGTTGGGTCCTCTGCAGAACTTGGCCGGTGTCGCGATGCTGGGGCCATAGAGCCTGTAACCCCTGCCCTGTGCTCTGGCTCTCTCCACAGATGCTGGGTTTTCAGCAGCAGACAGAGAGGCCAGCCTGGAGCTTATTAAGCTGGACATTTCCAGAACATTTCCTAATCTCTGCATTTTCCAGCAAGTAAGTGGTGATTTCTTTTTTTTGGGGGGGGGGCGGAACCAGGGATTGAACTCAGGCCCTTGCGCATGCCAGGCAAGCACTTATTCTACTGAGCTATCTCCCCAGCCCCAGGTGATTTCTTTCTAGTGTGTTTTACCTAAGATCTGTATGTGCCAGGCTCTCCAAATGTGCAGTCAAGACTGTGTGGGGCTCAGGGGCAGAGGTTGGGTGTCATGTCACGGACCCTTTCCAGCAAGTACCTGGATGCTTTCACAGTGGTCTTGTCTTGCGTGTGAGCTACAGGCGTCAGGCCAGGCCTCTGTAGGGGTTGCGGAAGGGCTGGCTTATCCTCAGCTCGGGTGTAGCCCAGGCACTTGTGTTCTGTGCCTTGGGGGGCCCTGCTGCTAGTCCCAGGAAGGCGGTGCGGGCAGCCACAGTGCATTCAGGTGGGCGGCCTTGCAGAAGCAGGGGCACCAGGACGATGAAGTCTCTGCTGGAGAGCAGTGCTGTGTGTGGAAGCAGCTCGGGTCTGCCTCTGGACGGGAAAGGACCTCAGTGACACTGGACAGTGCTGTCACTCCCAAGAGTTCCCGCCCCCAGCTCCCCCAGAAACATCCCCATCGGTTCCTCAGGAACCCTTGAAAGAGAGGATCCCCAGAGGCTCAGTCTGGATGTTGGACTGGGGACCTGGGAGTGCCGGCGCCGGGTGTGTGGCTCCAGTGGGCTGGGCAGGTGGCCAGCAGCAGGCCGCTGCTCCCACAGACACACTCCAGCTGCCCCTTTTGGCTTTCTTCTCCCTGGCCCGAGCTCACAGCAGGAGCTGCCAGTTCCCTGGAGAGGCTTGACCTTTCACCTTGGGGGCGGGTGTGAATCCCTGGCTGCCTTCCTGCTGGCTCCATGGCTTTGTGCTCCCACCTCATGCCTCAGTTGCTCCCTCTCCACGATCACTGGTCCCCACGGCCTCATAGCTCAGGCCACAGGCATGCCATCATACCAGTTGGTCTTTTTAAATGTCTTTGTGTCTGATTGAAACCAAGAGTGGAGCCCTTTCGTGTGTGCAGCCACGGATCTTGGGGGTGGTGGACCTAGGGCTTTAGGACTTGTGGTTCCTGAAAGGAGGGTAGTGATCTTTCTAGTCAGCAGCTGAGGACAGGGGAGCAGGCAGAATTCACAGGCGGCACGCACTGCACATGGCGGCTGGGGGATTCCATGTGGCCAGAGGTTCTGGGGCCCAGGTGACCTGGCCCTGGGCATCACAGAGCCCACATGCAGGCTGTGAACTTCCAGAAACGGAGGCCCAGTCTTTGCCCTCCTGGCTCCTGTGCTTTCCCAGATACTAGCTGGGCTCAGGATCAGCGATGCAGAGCTGGAGACACCCTGGGTGACCCTGGGGAGGGTGGCTAGAGCTCTGGATTCTCTGTGTAGGAGGGGCAGGTAGCAGTTTCGCCTGTCTGTGACTCTCATGGTGGGCTGGGAGGGGAGCCCAGATACCTGGAACAGGCTGAGGGCATGTGGAGTAAGCTGCCACTTCCTGGGCCAGAGTGAGTATGGTAGAATTAGAATTAGGAGATGCCAGCCCAGAGCAGGCAGCTGGAGTAGGGCTCTGCCTGGTGCCCCCTCACTCACCTCTGGGTCTCCTGCTGGCTCCTCAAGTCCCTGGGTTAGCAGCTGCTTCTGTTGTCCCCACACCAGGCCTGGCTGTTCTTTTTTGCTCTCTGTTGTGCTTTTCTGTTCTTATTCCTCTGTGATTTGCAAATGTTGCTTTTCCTTTCTTCATGTTTTTCTGCTCAGCCTTTGTACAGGTCAGCATGTGGTGGGCTGACCCTGTGCTTCCCTTGTAAACTAGCTGAGCTCCCTGCGGTGTGGCTCTGGGAATGATTTTTATCCCTGTTAGCGCTGGGTACTTGGTAGATAGGGCCAGTAGGTGCTTGCCTGGAGGCTGGGCGGTCTCCTCTGCTTAGTTAATGTTTTGGAAACAGTTAAAGGAGCAAGTGGAAATTGTGGAGGGCGGAGGGCGGAGGGTGGAGGGCGGGGTGCAGGGAGAGCCCTGGAAGTAAAGTGGCAGCTCATGGGACCCGTGGAGCAGGGGCCTCCCTGCAGCTGTGTAGAGAACAAGGGGAGGGCAGCAGGTGGGCAGGTGGGGTGGCACAGCCACAGGCCAGGCTGAAGGCTAGAGGCAGTCACTGCCCTGCACAGCCCTGGCTCGGCCGTCTGACCTGGAAGGGGACAGTCGCAGCAGGAGCCAAATGGGGGCTTTTGACATGGCGGTGCTCAGGCCAGCCCAGGAGCTTTTCTGGAGCAGCCTGTAGTTGAGGTGCAGACTTGCTTGTTAACCGCAGCTGGTCGTTTCGTTATTAAATTGCACAGTGCACGTGGTGGGCTGCTCGCGCGTGCTTGGCAGCCGGCGCACTGCCGTGCAGTAGCGCCAGCCGCTGTTGCTGCACTAACAGTACTCACACGTGTGTCGTTTCTGGTGTGTCCATCCTTGCAGGGCGGTCCGTACCATGACATGTTGCACAGTATTTTGGGCGCTTATACTTGTTACCGGCCGGATGTGGGTTATGTAAGTGAAGTCTTTCCATATTTTATTATGTTCTTTATAAAGAAAGTCACAGTGGTATCCAGGACATCCTAGGTGTCCAGTTGAGCACCTTCATCCTTTGGTTGAAGAGCTGAACAGTCTCGTGGTTCCTGGGTTGACTCAGTTTCCTCACTAGCAGGTTGAGCTAACTTGGCTGCTCTGTGACATTAATCACATTTTAGCTGGATGTGGTTTTCATTTTTTGCATGTGATTTTGCCAACATGTAAAAAGCCTTCAGCAGTAAACATTTGTAAAAGCGTGCTGCTGATTTCGCAGCTTAGCAGCGCTGCGTGCATGGTCTACCTCTCGCATGCCAAGTGGGCTACGGGGTGGTGCTGCGGGGCCTTGGCTTAGGGGTCCTGTAAGAGGGGCTGGAGAGCGGAGAGCAGAAGGGTGGCGGTGGGATGCAGCCTCAGTGGGTGGGCCTGAGGGCACCCTGCGGCCCTGCTGGGTGGGGGTTTGGTTCTTGTACTTGATGACAGAGCCCCTGGCACCTTGCTGGCCATTGTCAGTTAATGTCACTTTCTCCCTCCCACAGGTTCAGGGCATGTCCTTCATAGCCGCAGTGCTGATCCTAAACCTAGATACTGCAGATGCCTTTATTGCTTTTTCTAATCTCTTGAATAAACCCTGTCAGATGGCGTTCTTCCGAGTGGACCACAGCCTTGTGAGTATGCGCTGCGTACCTGCCCCGCCTGACGGTTTTCTCTGCAGGGAAGAGGAGTGTTTCCTCCGTTTTAGCACTGGATTGAGCATGAATGTGGAAATGGATGTGAATATAATAATTCATTCCCTGGGAGGGACACAGTGTCTAAAAACCGCTTTGGGAGGAAAGGAGGTGGCGGCCTCTGTGTGCCCTTCTGCTGGGAACAAACGCCCATGCATGTGCACACCGGGCCTTCTGGGACTGCATCACATGACCGACCTCTGACCATGCTACCGTCACGGTGCTATCTGTGAGAAGAAGGAGGCTTGTGTGCAGCGGAGCTCCACGACTTAGCAGAAGGCCGTGCGGATTTAGCTCACTGCTGTGGACAGTCTCCAGCACATTGCAGGCGAGCGGTGCAGCCATGTGGAGAGCCCTGCTCCTTCTCCAAGTCCTCAGGGTGGTATAGGGGACTGGGGAGAGGCCAAGGAGAGAAGCGACTTGTCCAGCACCTTGCTGTGGGGTGCTGAGCACAGAGCACTCCAGTCCCTGACCTGTTCAGAGAGGCCTGGCAGAAAAGGCCTAACAGTGACTCTGTCAGCTGGTGAACCAGTGCTGTCCTGGTTGCTGGCAGCTGTCACCGACTGGAAGGTCTGGCCACCCAGTAGTCAGGACTCACTTGGGGCTCCTCAGTGTCCCTGCTTGGAAAGTGCTGCTCAGGTGGTGGCTTGTGGCCAGGGTGCACTCACAGGCCCTCTTAGAAGCCAATTTAGAGTCGCATTTAGCTGTGAGCAGCCCCCGTGCTTGTGGGAGTCTGTGCTGAGAAATCCAAGATGTGAACAAGCCTCGCGTGCAGAGATGGCCACTGCGCGCTTGTTCACAGTGAGGCTGTGGACAGCATAAAGTGGGGTGTAGGAAAGCACTGCCCCTGAAAGTCTCACAGTGAGGCCCTAGAGCGGGAGGAAGTGGAAGACAGCGTGCTGCTGTTGCCACGAGTTGGCACAGAACAAACACTGATTACTGCCGTATTTAGCCACGAAAGGAGCTGGGCAGCGTGTGTAGCATGGAGCTCATGTCGTCGTGTCTGTGAGCCCTCGTATGGACGTGCTGCTCTGGGGGTCAGGCAGGAGCGGGCCTTTCTAGAACAGTAATGGTCAGAACCTGAAAAACTCTTCAGGCGGACTCTTGCTCTTAGAGTAGCCCATTGCTATTCATGTACACAGGGGTTCCCATTCCTTCCAATTTTCATTCTGGGTTGTAACTTTAATTGTATCTTCTTTTTATTTTATTTTACTGAGAAACAAATAGCAATGAGACAGTTTCAAAACTGAAGAATAGGACAGTTTCAATAATTAATACATTGTACATTGTTATCTTCTTAGTGGTTATCCATACTACAAGATGCAGACAGGATATCCTGCCCAAACACTATTAGTACAAATCTTTCTTCTCATTGAATTAAGCCAAAGTAGCTGTATATCTATCCTAACTATTCTGTATATATAGATACAAAATGGTCCTTCCTTTGTATCCCCCTTTTTTGTTTAGTCCTGTCAGAGATGGGTATTCCATTGGCATCTAAATACTATAGGTGCGTAAATTCAGCAGAGAGCAAGTTGGTCAAGCAATGGCCGTGACTCATCCACATGGCTGACACTGACAGAGGATCTGCAAACTGTGGTACAGGCCTACAGGATAAATCCTGAGGGGACTTGACTGACCTTATCAGATACCAAAGTTACATTTCTTCTTATATAGGTCTTGCTTTATCTTGGTTGTAACCATCCAGCAGAAAAGTATAAAAGTGAGGTATATAAAGTAAAGCCATATTAATACGCTGAGCTGTGAAAGGCTCAAGTCAACAACTTCTGTGGATAACCCACTACTATTGTGGACTGCTGGACTGTGTTGGATTGTTTTGCTGAATTTAATTGTATAGCTTTGCGCAGTGGCAGTATCGTAGCCAATGAGGTTTATCCGAGGCGTGATTATTGCTAATTGAATTTATTTATTTATTTATTCAAAGTTTTATTCATAAACAGATAGCAATGAGACAGTTTCAAATCAAATCGGAAGTACAGTTTCAACAAATAATACACTGCATATATTCTTCTCAGTGGTTAATTGCTGTACAAGATGCGGACTTGAGATCCTATTTACAAACACCATTAGAACAAATCATTCTGTTCATTAAGAGAATGCAACTATATATCTATCCCAACCACTTTGAATACACAGATACAAAATGGACATTCATAGTTATACCCCATTTTTTTAAGTTCCGTTATTGAATATTATAGGTGTGTAAACTCAGCAAAATATTCTAAAAGAGTCCAGTAGCCCATAATAGCATTGGGTCTTCTGTTTAACTGGCAATGTCAGAAATTATTGACCTGAGTCCCCCACAGCTCAACTTAACAGCATGGCTTTATTTCCTATATTTCATCTTCATACTTTTCTACTGCTAATTGAATTTAATTGTATCTTCTTGCACATAATAAAATGATTTCCATCCAAATTCCTGCTAATACTGAAGATCCCAGATCTCTCCTTGGAAACGTGTAACAAAAACTGCACCTAGTGTGTAGCTGTAAGGAGAAGCCCAGAGCTGCAACACCGAGTGTGCCCTCGGCCGAGGCAAGGTTTCCCCAGCAGCCCCTGATCAGGGCCGGATGACCCTGGTACCCTGGTACGGGCTGCCCTGCAGTCAGCCTGGATTTGTCACAGCCGGAGCCACGCGTCCCCTCTTGTGGCAATCAGCTGTATCTCTGATGGTGCCAGACATCCCCCAGGAAGGCAAAATGTACCCTGTGGGAGCCCGAGCTGAGTGTTTTATGGGCCCTGCTGCAGGCGGCCACTAGATGGCAGGGCGCAGACCCAGCTGCTGCCTGCAGGCTGCTCACATGCAGGGTCATGCTGCCCCCACTTGGGCGTGCGCTTCCTTGAGGTACCTTGCTGCCAGGTCTGGTAGGCTGTAGGCGGCCTCGTCCTGCCCTTGCCCCCAGAGCCGCAGCTGCCCGGGGAGGGCCGCGCGTTAGTCCTGCGTGGACTTCCACAACCACAGGCTCAGCCTCTGCAGGGTGACAGGCACAGATTCAGGCCTTGGCTCTGCCTGCGATGTAGTCGCTCCGGGTCTCTGTTCTTTTCTGTAAAGTAGAGCAGAGACAGGATGTGGCTGGTGATACTGCCCTGCAGGTTAGAAGTATGGTCCCTGAAGACGTGCCCGGACAGCTGCTGTGAGCTGCTGTTCAGAACCGGGGGCCCGAGTCAGGGTAATCATGGGAGAGAGGTCTGAGAGCTGAATGTGTTGGCCCGTGTCTGCAGCTGGAGGCCTGCGCTGACAAAGGGTACACTTGTGTCTCACACTCTCCCCCTAGATGCTGACCTACTTTGCTGCATTCGACGTATTCTTTGAAGAGAATTTGCCGAAATTATTTGCTCATTTCAAGAAAAACAACTTGACTCCAGACATCTACCTAATTGATTGGTAAGGCTGGGTTTTCCAAGCATTTTCTTGTCCCCTGCCATGTCTCCCGCTGTCCCCGCTGCAGCTGCTGTCAGGGCTTGGTGGCCCGTCTGTCCTGCCGTCTGGCCCCCTTTGTCCTCCCGGCTGCTGCAGAGCTGGCTGCTGCAGCCCCATGGTGCCGCTGTGTCTGGCCAGGTGGCCTTGCAGCAGCTGTCCTGGGGCTGTGGAAGGAGGTGCGGCTCGGTCCAGCAGGTGTCTGTGTGCCGATGGCGCGGTGCCGGTGCTGTGCGTGTTGTTGACTCGGCTGGGACTCCTGGGGCTTCCTTCCCCCGCCCTCAACCCGAGCTCTGCCCCCAGGATCTTCACCTTGTACAGCAAGTCCCTGCCCCTGGACCTGGCCTGCCGCATCTGGGACGTGTTCTGCCGGGACGGGGAGGAATTCCTCTTCCGCACAGCCCTGGGCATCCTGAAGCTGTTTGAGGACATCTTGACCAGGATGGACTTCATCCACATTGCCCAGTTCCTGACGCGACTGCCCGAGGACCTGCCGTCAGACGAGGTGTTCGTGGCCATCGCCACTGTCCAGATGCAGAGTCGGAACAAGAAGTGGGCGCAGGCAAGTGGCTCCCTGTCGCTCCTTCCTGGAGCTGCTGGCCCCGTGCTGAGTGCTGTAGGTCCGGCTCTGCCTCGGGTGAGCTCTGTGGAGCTCTTGTCAGCGGAGGGCTGGGAGGCAGGCCAGCCTGCTTTCCGCAGTGCACTGGGGCTTCAGCAGTTTTGCAACCTCTGCTCTTCAGATGATGCCTGAGACAGAAGGCACTGGCTGCATTCTGCTTGGGACCGGGCCCATCAGCAGGTTTTGTGTTCTGTAGTAGTAGTGGTTGGGCCGGCTGACTGCTGGTGGAGGCCAGGCCCTCCAGGCCCTCCTTGGCTTCGCATCACACAGAGGCAGCCTGTCTTTGATGCATTGCGATTAGAGTCAGAGCATGTTTAAAGCTGGAGTACAACAGAATACAGAGCCTGCTTGTCCTGCAGCTCAGAGCTGTGATGTGCAGCAGTCTTGTGCCAGCCATTACCCCAGTGTGTGACATCCGTAAATGTGTCTCCTTCTAAACCACATGGGTGGGGCCAGGGAGATGGCTCAGTGGGATAAGTGCTTTCCTGGCAAGCGCAAGGGCCTGAGTTCAATCCCTGATTCCACCAAAAAGAAAAAGAAAAAGAAAAAAAAAAAAACCACATGGGTTTTTTTTGTTTTGTTTTTCTATTTTAGGGAAGGATCTACAGGGTGTTCAGGGTCTCACTGCTAGATTGGACTCATAGCGATTTGCCTGTTTTCAACCTCCCAAGAGCTGGGATTACAGGCGCGCGCTACCACGCCCAGTCTGGGTTTCTTCAGTATAAGGACATATTGTTATCACTCCAGAAGTTACTGTCCAGTCTTGTTTTCGAGTTTCTGGTGTTTGATATCATGAGTGGGTTATTAGCATGAGTCAGGGTTTTGGGAAGTTCAGGCATTGTGATTAGCGGAAGGTTTTCAACCCTTTAGAATAGAGACGTGTTCCACCTTCTCCCTTGTGTCCCTGCCTTTGCCCTGTTGGGAAGAACACAGGCCCTTTCTCCTGCAGAGTCCCTCTGGGCCTCGGGCTGCTGCTCCTCTGTGCTCCTGTAAACAGACCCCGTCTTCACCGGGTGTCGGGTTGGTTTGTTGGCAAGATCCCTTCCCACGTGGTTAGGCCATCTGTCCTGGATGGTATACCATGTGATAACGTACCATAAACTCACCCATTGGAGGTGAGTAAATTCAGCATCAGCATCTGTGCCGTCCCCCAAGCATGCTGTGTCCCCTGCCTCTTACCCGCTGCTCTGTCCAGCTGTGGGAGTGCAGCCTTGGGCGACACCATGAGTGCCCCTGAGAGCCCCTGGGCTGTGCGCTCCCAGGGCGATGAGCTGTGTGAGTCTGCGTGTCAGAGCTGTTCAAATGCACGTGGTATAAATGGAAACATGGGGCTGAGTGCAAAAATGAGGAATTAGAGACGCAGCAGCAGAGCTGGACCCTGGGCCGCCCATGGGGAGGCTGGGAACCCTGTGGCCTCCGGAGAGCTCTGAGGACCAGACGGAAGCCAGGTGGTCCCTGATGGCCTTTGTGCTGCACGCCTGGCCCCGGCCCACCATGGGAACAATCGTATCCTGCGTTCTCCCATTTTGCTTTTCTGTTTTTAAGAACTGGAAACTGGTGAAGTAGATGGTTATAGTGAGGTATTTTCTAATTAATGGTGAGTGGTAAAGTGATGGGTTAGCCCAGCGGGGCACAGGCACCAGTGGTTTGTTTTTTTCAGAACTGAGGATTGAGCTCAGACCTCGCGCTTGCCAGCGAGCACTTACTCTGCTGCGCCGTCTCCCCGGCCCTGCACCAGTGGTTTTATGCGGTTGGATCTCATGGGAGCGGGCCACGCGCTTCCCTGGGTCGGAGCGCAGGCCACTGGGCACAGCTGCTAATTCACTTGGCAGCACTCTCCCCTTGTGGGCGGAGGGCCTGTATTTCTTACTCCTTCCAGTCCACCTTTATTCTTATTTTCCTTTTTGAGACAGTATCTCGCTGTATATTACAGGTTGGCCTTAAAACTCACGGGCAGTCCTCTTGCCTCAACCTCCTGAGAGCTGGGATTGCAGGTGCTCCCCTCGCACCCTGCTCTGGGCAGTTTATTGAAAATCACCCAAAGTGTTCCTGCTTATCACTGGGATTTGGTGTGGTATGGTGCCAACAAACGAGGAAACCTGGGGGCTAGGGAGGTAGCTTGGCGGTCTACACGTCTTCCTGGCAAGTGCAAGAACCTAGGGCTCAATTCCAGGTACCACATGCCCTGCTGGCCCACCCCCTGCCAGGCTGAGGCAGCCACAGAGACTGGGCATGGTGGCACACACCTGGCTGAAAACCAAGAGGATCACTATGAGTCTGAGTTGTATAGCAAGACCCTGTACCAAATACATTAAAAAAAAAAAAAAAAAAAAAAAAAGGAAACCTTGTGCCACCCAGATGCCCTGGTTTTTAAAGGCAGATAGAGCTGATTCCCCTCCTCATAGTGGGCACTGCTGCCTCAGACCCACGTGCAGACAGCCCCGATCTGGCAGTACCCGGAGTACTCTGCAGGGCAGGGTTTAGAAATGGGGTCCTGCTGCCACCAGTGCTGCCGGGCAGTCACTGCACAGTGGGACGTGTTAAATAAAGGTGTGAGCAGAGAGCCGAGGAGGTGCTGTTGTGGGCCGGTCAGGAAGGCGCCGGACTCCAGCTGACTTCTGCCAGCCGGGCAGCAGAGGACAGGGCCAGGCACAGGCTGAGGCTGCTGGGTGCCCTGCTGTGGAGGGTGAGCTGTGGCGTGGGGCAGGTGAGGGCACTTCCCGAGGCAGGAGACCCGTGTGTGGACCATGGAGGCCGGGAGGCGCTGCCATCAAGCTGTTGCCCCGCTTGGCTGCACCCCACAGCTCACCACAGACATCTCTTCTGGGCTTCCAGGTGCTGGCCGCGCTGCAGAAGGACTGCCGGGACCTGGAGAAGGGGAGCCCCTCGCTGAGGCGCTGAGGCCCCTGGCGCACTCGCTTGCCCCAAGCAGATCACATGTACCTCTGGACTGAGCCCTGGCTGCAGAGGGGTACAGGCCCTTGTCACGTGGGTCCTGACACTAGAGTTGGCCTTCAACACAGCACAGGAGAGCTCTGAGGAGGGAAACCCAGGTTCGGCCTTGAGCAGCCCAGCGGACCGTGCCCTGGCCTCGGCTGCGGCCAGCGCGGTGCTCTCCGCCCAGTCAGGCGGGTCGATGGCTGAGTGTCCCTCCCCTTCATTCCACGCAGTTAATTAAATGGTGATGCTGTGATGGCAGCTATTGAAAAGCACGTTACAGTTCTTCTTAGCCGGGGTGCATGAGGACGTTACCTCCAGGGCCTCTGAGGTGTTGCTGGCCCAGTAAGAAAGGTGTTGTTGGCGCAGGATTTGAGATAATCTTTCCAGAGCTGGAGGTCACTCTCAAAAATCCACATACCAAAGACCGTGTGACCAGAAGGCTTGTGGGCGGCTGCTGGTGGGGCCATCTGTGCTTGCGTGGCCTTGGCCTCACTGAGGGGAGCCAGGGTGGGGCCTGTGTGCAGAGAAGGCCGCAGGAAGAATGCAGGGCGGGTGGGGTGGGGCGGCCTCCCCGAGGAGAGCGAGGCCTGCTTGAAGACACTCTGCCTGCTCCGGCAGCGCACCCTCCAGCGTTGTCCCCTGAGCGGCTGGGTCCATCCCATGGCCCCTGCTTACCTCTTCATCTGGCTTGAAGAGATGCGCCTCTCAAGCTGTGGTCAGGACGCAGGACCGGGCGTGCTGAGCAGCCCAGGGCATCCTGGCGAGTTCTCGGGACCATCAGCCCTTGCTTACTCTGATTTCATGGGCAAGTTTCTGTGCTCCAGCTTTTCCTTGAGTATTCTGAGAACTCTGTACAGAAATTTGATTATCCAGATACACAGAAATGAAGTTTCCATGCGCTAGTCCAAGGACAGGACATGCCAGCATCTGCGGGACATCCCGGGTGGTCACCCCTACTCGGCATTGCTGCAGAGGGTGTAAGAGGCCCAGGTCGGGCTTGGGCCGTCTTTTTGCAAGTGCCTGTGTGGTCGCTCACCACAGCTCTTCTCAGCCATATCTCCAGCCCGGGGAGACCCCTCCTGGTGAAGGTGCGGCATGTGGCCCAGCAGACCCTCCTGGTAGGTGGTGCAGGTGGCTTCGACTCCCCACACCCGGGGCCCCTCTCCTGGGCCCTCCTTTCCCTGCATCACTGAGTTTCCCAGGAGGCTGCTGAGTGTCACAGTCCCATTTCCGCCTCAGCCCCGCCCTTCTATCAGGTGTTGTCAAGGCCTGGGGGGCTACAGGAGGTGGGCTGCCCAGCCTCATGCTGTACCTGCTCCCAGGTGTGCCGAGCTGGCTGCATCTTGCGTCCTGCCCCACCTGTGGGAGATGTGTATATTTTCTTACTGTACAGAACCATGTTCCTGAGCCGTACAGAAGGTGGCCCGGCGCTGGCTCAGGCAGCCCATTCCCGTGTGACACCCCCAGTGTGTTTCCTGTGCCTGACCTGAGTCTGGTGTGCACTGCACTTCACCCAGGCCTCCCTGCCAGCCTGGAGCACTGACCACATCTTTAGTCCACACCAGGCTTTGTGGCCTGTTCAGGGACCACAGGGGTCACATGCGTCCTGTGCACGGTGGTGCTGGGCCAGTGGCGGCCTGTGGTCCCTGTCCTGACTGTGCAGGCTAACTGGGACCGGACGCAGAGGCACTTCTCTGCCAAGCCCGAGTCCACACGCTCCCTGGCAGGGTGATGCTTGGGCTTTGGGTCTCTGTGGTGTCCAGGAGCAGTGTCCACCTCGAAGGTACTTTGTAAATGCTCGGTTTTTGACTTTTAAATAGTTTGCTGGTAGAAAACTCCTGGAAGCTCTTCCTACATACTGTGTTTTAATTGCTTGTACAGTAACCTTTAAGCTTATTTAGTAAAGTGTATCAAAGTAGGACTTTTTGAATTGTAAATATGTGGTTTTAAATAAAAATCATGTAAATTGTTATATTCACTGTTGCTGGGTTTTAAAGTTGAAATCCTCATTTTTTTGTTTGTTGTTTTTCAAGACAGGATCCCACTGTATAGTTCAGGCTCAATTTGAACTTACTGTGTAGCCCAGGCTGGCCTCAAACTCACAGTAGCCCTCCTGCCCCAGCCTCCCAAGTGCTGGGGAACAGGCGTGCATCACCACACCTGCCTTGCCTTCTCAATTTGAAGCATGGCAGAGGTATGACTTGGAGCATTGAGCTGCCCAAGTGTCCTGGTGTCCTTCACTGGCTTGTGAACAGAAGGGCAGTGCGGGCGGTTATGCAGCTCATTTGCAGTAGCCCCAAGCCGAGTGCCACCCCTGTGCACTGGAGGACGCTGGGTCTCGCCTGTGGCCCCTGCCACATGTTGTGCTGGCCCCTGGTTCTTGTGTGCAGTTGGCACCTGCCTCATGTCAGCTTTCAGGCCAAGGTAACTCGCGTTCCCCAAGCCTGCAGCCAGAAGCTGAGCTTTAGCCCAAAAACAGCTACCAGAGTGGAAGGAGGCAGGCGGGCAGGCGCCTCCTCCAGTGCACTTAAGAGGGAGCCCCTGGGGAGGTGCGTGATCCCTCTGGGCCCTGCAGATCAGGCCCGGGGCCTTTGCCCACCCCACTGGCTGCTGCATCTTGGTTCCAGGACCGTTGGCTGCCGGCCTGCCGCTCCCACAGACAAGTGGCTCCCTCTGGCCAGGGTGCTGAGCAGCTTGTGCTGTGGGGTTGGCAGCCGGCGCAGTCACATGTGCTGAGGGCTGGCAGCCTGCTCCAGCCACACCAGGCTCTGTGCCAGGGAATTCTTTCATCTGCACAGCAGCTCTGTGGAGAAGACTGGTTCTGCACCCAAACCTGTGGTGCAGTGGTGGTGGTGGTCTAGTGGTGAGCGTAACTGCCTTCCAAACCTGCTGTCCAGAGAAGCCCAAGCTGGCATAACTGGCCTCCAGACACCCGCGTGGGCACCCGCAGTTGCTTCAGGGTCCCTGGAGCCTGCTCCAGCTCTAACTTGGTTGGAGATACTTGGCCACAATGCAGAGTGCACAGGTATCTCTGAGAGGCCCAGTGCAGTGGCTCCTGCCTGTCCGGGTCCTCAGTGTGTGCCGTTCTCTGCCCACAGAGCTGGCTGCGGATACTGAGCCACGGGGGGCAGGTGGTGCTGAGCGAGTGAGTGGGCTTGGAGTCGTCTAAGTTGCTAAGCCCGCTTTGTTTTCTTTAACCAAAGGTTGGTCCATGGTTCCAAGGGGACCCTAGTGGCTACACCCTGGATTGTGAAGGCTTTTTTTTTTTTTCAGAACCAGGGATTGAACTCAGGCCCCTGTGCTTATCCCACTGAGCCAGGGATTGAACTCAGGCCCCTGTGCTTATCCCACTGAGCCATCTCCCTGGCCCTGGATTGTGAAGACTAACCAGAGTAAGAGGCCCCCTTGAAACTGTACCGCAAGAGCCAGAAACCAGAAGCTAGGCGTGGTGGTGTACATCTGTAAATCCCAGCACTAAGGAGGCTGAGGCAGGAGGGCTTTTGTGAGTTCAAGGCCAGCCTGTCTCAAAAAGACACACACCAAAGATCAGTCTGAATTACAGAGTGAGACCCTGTCTCAAAAAAATGCCAAAACCCTTAATCATGGCAGCAGTGTCCAGAAAGAGAGTGTGTCCCCATATGATCGCCAAGAAGCCTCAGGCGCGGGCTGAGCCACTACAACTGATTTGCGCTTACAGGGGACGAGCATTTTGTCTCCAGGCTCTCGACGCTGGACTGTAACACTCAGCATCTCCATGTACAATGGCAGCAGGACTGTGGGGAAAAGAGCCGAGAGACAAGAGCTGGGCTCCAGTGGAGGCCAGTTTGGTTGGCAAGACACCCCAAGAACAACGGTAGAGGCGTCTGTTTATACATCTGCAAGTTAGTATCAGGAGATGCAAGGCTACCTAGTGACTAATAGCCAAAATTGTCCAGATGGGATGTTTTTCCACTGGGGCAGCTTGACTGCTTTAGGCACTGAGGCCTTGTCTGCCCTCCCACCTACCATCACTGTCCAGCTTCCGCAGCTCCCAGCATATCTCTCTTCCTCCCTCGTTTCCTCTCTCCTTCCCTCCCTCCTTTTCCTCCTTTTTTTTTTCTTTTTTCTTTTCTTTTTGCAACAGGGTCTCATGCAGTTCAGGCTGGCCTTGCGCTCACTAGAACTTGGAATGATCCTCCTACCTCAGCCTCCCAAATTCTACGATTAAAAGTGTTCCATTGCAGTTGGGAGAAGCTGTATATGGAGAAATCTGTAGAAGACCTTTTTGTGCTTCATGCCAGTGCAAAGATTTTCGGTAGCTATACACAGCAATTTCACCCTGTGTAGTCCCAAAACCCGTAACAGTAGCTAGTGACTTACAGCCGGCAGTTGTCGGAAGTGGTTAGTAATTTGAACCTTTTACAGCTAGCTTAGTGCTTTTTGGTTCTTGGGGTTTTTTTGGCAGAACTGGGGACTGAACTCAGGCCCTTGTGATGAGCAGGATTAAGCCAGGCAAGCGCTTATCCCACTGAGCCATCTCCTGGCCTCTAGCACTAGTTTTTTGTCTCGTGTTTATAATTTTCTGCTGGATGAATACGACCAAGTCAAAGCAAGACCTGCACAAATAAAAAATAACTTTGTTGTCTATTGGGATCAATTAAGAGCAAGTACAACGGTCAATTCTGAAGATGCTGCCAAAGGAAAAAGTGGTTCTGCAAGAGGGGGAAGGGGGTGCAGCCTCTGGGAGTGAGGGTGCTGCCGAGAAGGCTCCAGGCCCAGAGGTGCTGGCAGTGCAGTAGAGGTCCAACGTATTCTATGGGAAAAACCCAGCAAAGATGTGGAAGCCGTGGAAAGGTTAAAGTCCGGGATGAGATTCAGGGAAGTGGCCGCACCGTATAGTGCAGATAAAGCCAGGCGAGGCCGCAGCTGGGCTGGATGACCAGAGGCTCCAGGTAGGGCCTTGCCAAGCAGCAGCATTTGCCTTGCCTGTGAGTGCAGTGGATAAGCCTGTCTGTACAGATCCACCAATTAAGACAGAGTTTGGATGTCATATTATTTACGGTTGAAGGGAGAAAATAAAAATGTGAAAGATAAAAAAAGAGATCAGTTAAGACTCCTCAGGATTTATCTTGGAACCAAGTAAAGCACCTCTTAGATCTTGTCAGTGTCCGCCATCTGGGGGAGTCATGGCCGCTGCTTGGCAAGATCCTTTCTGGGCAAGCTTGGAGAGTGTGCTTTTCTCTCCAGGTGACTCTCCTTAGACACGCTATACATTGCAGATGGCTTTCCTCTGTGGTCCCACGGTCTCCTTAAGCAGAAAATCAGGGACTCAACTGAGTTACAGGATGCCATGGCAGAGACTCCTATGTCTTGAGTCCTCACTGACCCTGGGGGACTAGGGCCAAAATATTGGTTATCCTCTAGCCCACTCATTCTCAATGTTGGTCTGCAAACCTCAGTTGTTAAATATCCAGAAGAGACGCTTAACGATACCACTGTATTGGATCTACTAAGCTGAACATTACTATCTTATCTGCATATCAAACACTTTAGACATAAAATGGAACTGTTATTTTCTAACAACCATGGATATTCTAATATTTAAATCCCCACAGAATGTTAACAATTACTTTTTTTTTTTAATTTTTATTTATTTTGTGTGTGTGTGTGTGTGTGTGTGTGTGTGTGGCCAGCTCAGCCCACCAGGGGGCGCGGCTGGCTGGCATGTGGTGCTGGGGGATTGAACCGTGGTCCCTTTGCTTTGCTAAGCTTATTCAAATAGGTGCTTTAGACCGCTGAGCCATCTCACCAGCCCCAACAATTACCTTTTTTTGCACAGAAATCAATGCCATATATAACATTGCAGCATGACAATCCTGATGTTTTGTGACATACTTAAAATTTCATTTTGATATAATACAACTATATCTTTTAATCACATCTTTAATAATAAACGTTTTTCTAATTTCTCATTCTTTAATGGAATATACATCACAAGTTTTTGTTAATGGAAGAGGCCTAAAAGCCTTATCACAATAAGCAGTCCTTGTTTTACTCTTCGGAAGTCCTGAACATCAGGAGTCATGAATATATTTAATATGCTGAGATTAATTATAGGTTGTCATTCCGTGTGAAAACCTTTTGTTTCTTAATTTAGTTTTGTATCAAAATCATCTAGGGCTGGAGAGAGAGCGGCCTAAGTGCCTGCCTGGCAAGTGCCAGGTCCTGAATTTGATCCCTAGTGCCACAGAAAAGAGAAAATCAAAAGTATCTGTTATGAGAAAACTATTGTAATTTTTTCCCTGAAAAACTTAATTAAAAAAAAAAAATTTAGTACAGGGTCTACAGGGTCTCACTACACAGATGGGACTCAGTGATCCTCCTGTTTTCAGCCTCCCAAGTGCTGGGATTACAGGTGCAGGCCACCACATCCAGTCTCAATTGTCATCTCAGCATGTCCTGGGGGCAGGGCTGGCATAGCACGTGGTGCCGGGGATCAAACCCCAGTCCCTGTGCTCTGCCTAAACAGGCGCTTTAGTCTGCTGAGCTATCTGGCCGGCCCAAAACTTCATCTTCAATGACAGAAATATTAGGGTGTCTCCCAAGAGATTATTGGGGGCTCCTCATTAATGATCAGAGGTTGGCCACTATTCACTAATTAGAATCCTGACCAATAATTTATCTCCACTCTAAGGAATTTTTATTATTTTAAATGTTTTGATGACCTATGAGTAAATCAATTTTAATATCACTTAGATCAGCTGGTAACTCAGGAGAAAGCATGCTTTTCAATCTGTAACCCAAATTGTATTATGAACAAATAATGAAAATGAACAAATAAAGGAACAGCTGTTCATGGAATGACATACAAGAATGTAAACAAGTACGCAGAAACAAACATCTTTATAAAATCAGAAAAATAATCAGTGCACTATTTTTTTTACCAAGTTGAGCTATAGTAACTATCACAATTTTATAATTAAAAATAGGCTAGTCAGATAATGTTGTCAATTAGCAGAGATCTCTTACTAGAAAAATTTGGAATAGAAGCTTTTATCTATAATTTACATATTTTGCATTTTATTTTGTCTGAAGCATACTGATAACTTTTACCTCCCTTAGCCCCTATTTAAACCTGAGATTTCCATTTTGTTAGTTCATTCAGTAGGCCCCAGGTCAACTCTGGCTTCATCATTGTTCGCTTCTCCAGATCTGACTTCGTGGCAGAGCCTGACAGCACACTCTGGTACCCAAATTGGTTGCTCGTTGTTCTTTGGAAAAACACAAGCATATGCTTGACCCCAAAATAGCTTCTTTCTTTATCTGATTGCATTTCTGTTACTGTACTTCCATCTTTTGTAAAATCTTAAAAATGTAATACTATATATTGACAAGTGAAGTGGGAGGGTTGGATTCCCCGTTTTGTTTTGTAGCTGAATTTTGACTGTAGTGAGAAACCTGTATTTTACACGTTGGAAGAGGAAGCCACCACATAGCCTCCCTTAACCTAATACGATCCATCTGGGAAAACAAGTCAGTCTAACTTAGCTGAAGGATAATGACAATAACACCACAAAAACTAGCCCCAAATCTGGATGGAGTCAATGGATATTGCCAAGTGGCCTGAAAGTCACCAGGGGGTGGATCTGAACCGTTTGCTGCACAGTGTGTCTCTGTGGGATGAGGAGACCCAACTGTGGAAAGGTCGCCACAACCTGTGTCCCCGGCCGGGATTGAAGGGGTCGAAATCAAGTGGCTGTTTCGACCCGCTTTTAGATTGCTCCCCAGACCTTTGTGTCTGCTTGTAGAATCGCGAAGCGTTTTAATACCAATTTAATTTGGGGCTATAAGACAGGCAGGCAGCTTTATTGGAAATCGAGAACTTTAATCTTTTAAAATATCCCCATTATTGTAAACCTTAGGAAATAGGACTTTCTTTTAACTAAAGGCCAGCTTTTTACATTGAGGATGGAAACAACTTTTTAAATTAATCACCTTACGGGGAAATCGTACACGCTTCTCTCTGTGTCAGTTGTAATGTAGAGAGCCTTCTGTTCTGGCGGGCTGGCCCTCTGCCGTGCTCCACTTCAGCAATCTAGCTAGCACTTTTAGTACTTCGGTCATGTGGCTGCTCTACCCAGAGACCATCAGCACTTTTTTTCCCCCCTGTATTTTAGGGAAGGGTCTACAACGTGTTCAGGGTCTCACTACTAGATCGGACTTGTAATGATCTGCCTGTAGTGACCCGCCTGCTTACAGCCTCCCAAGAGCTGGGATTACAGGTGTGTGTCACCGCGCCCAGTCTGGATTGCCATCTCAGTGTGCCCGGGCGCGGGGCTGTGCCGGGCCTGCCCCTGCTGGCAGGTACTTTAATCTGCTGAGCTATTCGGCTGGTCCTAGCACTTGTTTTGCAAAGCCCTTTAAAATTGTTTCTTTTAAATAATTAGTTCCATTTTAAAGATCCAATATATCTTTTAAAAATATTTATAATTTTTAAATCTTTTTCAAAGAATGACCAATTGAGTGATATAAGTCTGGAGTGATCTGAGCAATGGTTTGGGTAGACTGAAGTAGAACTTTGATTTCTCCTATATAATCAGCGTTCGTGGCACCAGGTGGAGCCCGGAGACCTCTGTGTGTTGGGGCTCCGCCTCCGATTGCTGCTTTTACTCTGTTGCCTTGGGGCTGGGCGAGCTGTTGGTCCTGGGAAGGGGCTCTCTCACCCACACTCTCCCTCTGCAAGCCATGCTGGGGCTAGCGCCCTGTAGCCAGAGCCACGGTGTGGTCCTGGTGCCACTGGTCTGTGTCCCCAGCCCCATAGACAGTTTTGAGGCAAACAAATGATCAGTACAGCCCACACCAAGGCTGTGGCACGGTGCGGTCACAGCACCCCCTCCTTAGCCCCAGGCACACAGGACTGTAGTTGGTGGCATGCTCCAACCGTGGCGGCTGGGCCAGGTACGTGGGCAGGCCAGGTACGTGGGCAGGCCAGCTGCTGGGGAAGCCCAGCTGGGTGTGCGCAGGAGCAGAGCACTGGGCCCCCGGGCCCAGCCTGAGTGCCTCCCCTCAGTGGCACCACTGGGCTGCTTGGAACTAGCCACGTGCAAGTTAAAAGAATTTTTCCCTTTTTTATCTAATTGAGCAAAGCTAGAGGTTCAGATTATATCTGGCACCAGATATTGCTCCAGCCTCCTGGCCCATTCAGGACTTGGTTCTAAAACAGTGCCCCATGCTGTCCTTTGTGGTGGCTTAGTAAAGGAAACAGTAGAACCAAGAAAACATTTTCACATGCCTCTGTACACATCTGTGGCTCTTGAAGTTCTGTTAATTCTGTATAACTTTCTCCTTTTTGACTTCAAATACGTTTCTCTCTTTAAGCTTGTTTATCTTTCTGGCCCTAGTGAGCCTCCATGCCGTTGCTTTACACCTGAGAGGCCAGTGCCAACGCCTGTCTGTGCTGAATACCGGCTCCAGCTAGTCAACGTCCCTGAGCTGCACTGGAGAAGCTTGCTTGCCGCCCACTTACCTCTTACTGGGTGTCTTTCTTGGGCCCTAAAGGTAGAGACTCGTTGGTGCCTCGGTGTACTCTGAGGAGAAACAGCAGCAGCAGTGAGGAAAAAATAAGACAGGAGCCAAGGGCTGGGATCAGATGGAGGTCTGTTTGCCTGGTGAGCAGAGAACCCCAGGATCAACAGTAGGGGCATTTATTTATACCTTTGCAAAATTAGTATTAGGAGACACAGGTTGCCTAGCAACTAATAGTCAAAATTGTCCAGATGGGGTGTTTTTCTCAAGACTGGGGTAGGCTGACTGCTTTAGGCACAGAGGCCCGACCTGGCCCTCCCACACAGGATCCATTTCCAGCTTCCGCTGCTCCCAGCGCTGCCAAGGACCGCAGACAAGTCTTCACCTTTGCTCGTACCCGTGCAGCAGCAGTGCTCCTTGTTGGGCCTGGTGTCTCCTCCCTGGCAGTCTCCCCGTGTGGCTGTAGGCCTAGGCCCCCTCCACTGCCCTTTGTTCCATCTCTTCCTGTCATCACCTCAGTCCAGCATAGGACTTCCCAGTGCCTGACCCGGAGTGAGTATTTAGTGAAAAGAATACTTCGCAGAAGATGGAAGAGATTGGCATGGCTGATGGGCGCCCTCGGGTGCTCAGGTGTGGTCTTAGCAGGGCAGATAGCCCAGGAGACACTCTCTGTGGCCGGTGGCTGGCGGGGATGTGCACTCCTCAGGGCTGCCAACAGCTGTGGAACTGGACCATGGGAGAGCGTGCTCAGGCTGCGAACTCTCCCTCTGAAGTTATCTGTCTGAAGCAGTTTGTGAATGTGTGTCTCTCATGATTAAGCACTCTTCTTTAATCGAATTAGAAAAACCACATTAGGAGGTAATCAGCCCAGGAGCATCTTCTAATGAATTGCAACCTCTCCAGCATGAACTACCGTAATGAGGAAAGCAGTGACTGCTGCAGTCGCTGCTGTAGGGCTCTCGCTGGCTTCACAGCTGAAAGCAACACCAGTGTCACCAAACATCTCAGTGTCTCCTGTCTGCGCTCTAAGGGATCTGCCTGTTCCAGGCCGGCACGGGGCATGTGCAGGGTGCTGACTGCTTCCAGGTCAAAGTCAGCCGGAGGTTCCTGCTCTGCCCTAGTAAACCCTAAAGCTAGGGGACTGCATCCAGCGAAAGCTACTTGCTTGGCCCAGGCCACTCCCTGTGGGCAGTTGCCCTGGGGAGCACCTCCAGCAGGGGAATTGAGCGGCTTTTAGCAGAGCCACGGGGAAACAGCTTTGTTTGCCAGTGGTCTGCTGTTTCACACGGGCCTGGAGGGCAGGGTAGGAGGCCAGCTGTAGTGAGGAGGAGAGCAGGGAAGCTAAATCAGAGCTTTTTCATTCCCCTCATTATCAAAAAGTGTATTCAAGCCATGGTGTTTGAAAGGAAACTGAATTTGCATTGACTGCAGAGGGAACCAGCTAGAAAATGAAATGGCAGCAAAAGACAGCGTCGGTCGCCTCACAGCTGACCACGCCACCTGGAGTGGGGTTGCGAGTGTTCTCTGCGTGTTCAGCACCAGGAGCGGATCGCCTTTCTCATGACCCACTTCAGCGTGGGACAGGGGATGCTTTGTCCTGTTTCTGCCCAGCGGAACACACAGCCCACGTGGGGGCAGCAGCCACTGCTCTATGCTTTGCACCTGGTGGAACAACACTGTTGCCATTTTATTTCTCAAAATAAAACTGGAAAAGAAAATGTTTTGTGTGTGCCGCAGAGGCAGGCATTTCCTCAGGGGATCCAAGAAAGTGCTCAATTCTGAGTGCAGATCTTGCTGGGGCAGAAGCAGACGCGACTGAGTGCTAGACTGAGCTGCTCTTCAGTGGAAAGGAGGGGGACAGAGCACCAGCCCCTTTTCCTGTTGACCATCTCATCTCTTTCTGGATTTTACTAAATGCTTTTCCCCTTCATTCTGAGACAGGTTCTCACTGTGATGTCCAGGCTGGCCTTGAACTCGCTGCCATTCTCCTGCTTCAGCATAACAGGTGTGCGACACCAGGCCCAGCTTCTGGAGGTTTTAAAAATCATCCCAGAAGCTAGTGATGGTTATATACAAAATAAGAATTAGTGAGTGATTTAGGACTACACAGTTTAGTAAGTACAAAGAGAATTTAATAGCTTGCTTAATGCACAGGAATACTTTGTACCCTGTCCATTGGTTCAGCTTTTAAAGCCTCCTTACACAGAGGAAAGGGAACAGTATATTTTAGTATTACCCCAGAAATCATAGTTGTTCAGTTAGAAAAAGACATTTTGACAGCTTTTTGTGAGAAGTCATGTACAGTCACCGGTTTTTGACTCTAGGCCTCTCTTGCTTAATCTCATACAAACCGTGAACCCAAGTTGGGATTCAGCACAAATCAGAACTGATAAATGAGGTAAGATATATAGTTCTACCCTCAATATGACAAACCCCAAGGAATGGCAGCAATAGAGAGTAAGAGTGAGTGAAGGTCGAAGTCCCCGGAGATGGTGAGAAGCCTCTGGTTTCCCACCCGTGGGGTCAGGAGGGGAGAAAAGCTTTGGCTTCCCTGATCTTCTGCTTCACGCCTTTGCAGGACAGCGTGAGCCCGGCGTGGTGGCGCTTCAGGGACTCCAGGCGCTGGGTGAGCAGCTCAGTCTTGTCCACCTTTTCCTCCAAGTCCCGCAGGAGTAACTCCTTGCCCAGTAGCCCACACTTCTGATTCAGCTTGCGGTTGTCAACCCGAAGGCTGTCGCGAGCTTGCTTAGTCTTGCTCAGGATGTCCCTTCGGGAGGCCACCTGAGCCTCGATTCTCATCAGCTCCATCTTTCTGCCTGTGTTCTTCATGTCCATGAAGTGCAGCTTCTCCTTTACATGAGTTATGACCTGCACATTGTTGGTCACCTTACCACGCAGTTTCACCACCTCCTCATTTCGCTCCTCTGCCTTCTCATTGAACGTCTGGTTCTCGATCTTCAGCTGTTCAAAATCAATGAGCAGCAGCCCCTCTGCCAAGTCCTCCTGGGCCCTCATCCTGGTTTCAAAATGCGCCAGGCTCTGCTTCAGCTGCACGTTCTCCAGCCGCACAGCGCTCATCTCCTTCTCCTTTTTGTCCTCCAAGGCCTGGATCTGCTCCACCTCTCGCAGAGCAGCCTGGCGTCCGCCCCTCAGGCGGCAGCTGCCCATGGCCTGCATCACCACCTGCTTCTTGAGGGCCTGGAACTGGCGCCACTTCTTCTCCACCCTGGCCAGCTTGTCTTGGCACTGCTGCTTCAGCTGGCCCACCTCCTGCTGGTACCACTCCAGGTCGTCGATCTCCTGCTTCCTCAGCTCCTCCAGCGTGGCCAGGTAGTGCAGGTATGCCTGCTCTTTCTCCGGGGCCTCGGGCTCGGGGCCCTTGTCTGGCGCCTCGGCGGCGGCGTCCAGGCCCCTCTTCCTGCGCAGGGCCTCGCAGATCTTCTGCTGCAGGTACAGGTTGTAGCGCTGGTAGCGCGAGCGCTCCACCACCAGGGCGCGGTACTGCTCGAGCAGCTCGCTGCGCAGCTGCTGCTCCTGCTGCCGCTTCACCTCCTCCGACCACTCCTCGTCCTCTCCTCCACCCAGGGGCCAGTGGGCCTGCTCTCTGTCACTCTTTTCTCGGCCTCCTTCCCCACGCTGCCCCTCGCCCTCCTCCTTGCTCTCCTCCTTCTCTTCCGTTTCCTCTCGTTTTGCTTGCTCCTCCTGGATCGAGGTCAGCTGAAACGACGCCCGGAACGAGCCGGTCCTTTTCCTCTTTACCGCGGACTCCGCGTCGGTCTTTTCTTCATCTTCCACCTCCTCTGAGCTACCTTCAGAATGCGGCTTGGCCGACTCCTCGGTCCCAGCCCCGGGGGGCTGCTCGGGCTTGGCCGGCCTCTCGGGCTGTCCGGGCGCATCCTCGCCCACACCCTCCGTGGCTACCAGCCTTTCCGTGGCCGCTGGCTGCTCGTCGGTGGCAGCGCCTCCCTCGGAAGCCTCTATCCCCTCTGCCGCTCTCGCCTCTAGCTCGAGTTGTGGTTCTTCGGGTTCCGTGGGGGTCTGGGGACCAGGGCTGTCTATGATCTCAGTCGGCCTCAAAGCCAGGCTGTCACCATCTTCACCTTCGCTCGCAGTGTCCCCAGCATGTTCGGAGAGGTCGTCCATCTTCGCCCAGGTGGGTCCCGGCGGTGGACCAAGGCTGCAAGCTGTTAGGTTTCCTGGGCAACCAGGGGCGCGCACGGTGGAGGCTACTATTGGCCAGACGCTAGCCCGACGCTCCGCCTCCTCTCCCCGCCTCCCGGTAGAAGTAGGCCAATGGAATGCCGCTAGCGTGAGGAGGCGCAGATGATTGGATGCGGGCTAGAGCTCGCGCCTCGAGGGGCGTGACACGCTCGTCCGACTTCCTGTAGGCGCTTCAGTCTCGCCAGGCCTGGGGCGGGGCGTCACGGCGGTGCCGGCGGGCGCGCCGGCGGGCGCGAGCGGTGCG